CAGGATCTAAACCTGTGTAGTTCCATGGCTTTCTTTCCTTCTTCCCACTATTCACCTCCTCAAGGCAACTGCCAAGATTACCAGCTTGCCTGCCCTGAGGATTTTTCTTTAAGATTCTAATAAAATTGTAAAAGCTTCTATTTGGGTCCATTCTTAAATTCTTTTATGAATGAGACTAAGAACACTCTAGGGGGACCCTCTTTCTCCCCATTTCAGTGGCAGGGCTGGAGAGACGGCTCAATGGTTGAGAGTACCTGCTGCTCTTGCAGAGGACCCAGGTTCAACTCCCAGTACCCACAAGGTGGCTAACAACTGTCTGTAATTCCAGTTCCAGGGAAATTTGATGCCCTCTTCTGACTCCAAGGGCATTGCACTTACACACATGCAGGCAATGCACTCATACACATAAAATGAAAATAAAACATTATGAAAAATTTGAAGGTGACAGTTACAACTAATACTGGCATAAACTTATTATAAATGCCAGTGAATATAGAAACAGGCCAAGAGACATGCTCAAACTGTTCACAGAAACATGCACAATAGACAAGCTAAACCAGGAATTGAAATCATATTAGTAATTACCTCTTCAGATGGGTAGGTAATGACTACAAGAAAGTATAAAGCAAACTTCTAGGATAGTGGTAATCTTCTGTACCTTGGCTATACAGAAAGTACATAGCATGAAACTTTTATAAGGATTTGCCAATTATACTTAAAATGCTTATAATTTGTAATCATCTACCCTGTCAGAATATTTAATGTTCAAAGAAAAGCGATTTACAATTAAGGATTTTCATAAAATGTATATTGTTCAGAATTTACATTAGAGTATTATGGGTCATTGCCCTATGAGTTCAAATTTCCAGGAAGCCTCCAACCACTGAATTTTCCACTCTAATTATAAACTGCATACTTTTTGACTACACTCCTCAGCCCTTCCCCATTTGGTAATCTTTCTTACTACACACTCAAATAATTTCCTGTCATTTACTGAAGGCTTTAGCACCCAAGTCTGTTTTCCTTTTCTTTCTTTCTTCATCAAAAAGCTGTTACTCTCTTTAAAAAACTCACTGTCTTTGTTCTCGCACAGATGGCAACTTGCCCCTTCAGTTCTTTGGTCTCATCTCCGCTTGACTCAGCCTCAAATCCCAGAGTCACATCTGGGTCTTGTCATCGCCATTAGACATTTGGAGTGAAGCTGGAGATGACTAAATCCAGCACTACCTCCCTCCTCCAGCTGCTTCATTCATATTTGAGTTGAGACCTCCAGTTCTTTGAGTCATGCAGAAGAGTGATCTCCTCGTTTTCTCAAATGAAATCATTTTTCATTTCTATATTCTGTGCCTTGGTTAGTTGATCAGTCAGTCTTGCATTAGTAACCCATTTCTCCAATGCAATTGAGCTTCCTTTGCATCTTTCTGGCAAACCCAGATCTTGGATCATGTAAGGCAGTCTCGCATTTCTGTTTCCACCAGAACTACCAGAGAAAATTGCAAGTCAATGGAGAGTGGTAACCACGCGCCCCAGGATGACCAGCAGCACCCAGAAGAACAAAATCCATTGATTCCTGAAATGTTTGTCAATTGTCACTGCAGTTAGCATGTGCAAACCTCTTTGTCATTCTCATCGCCTTCCCCAGTCCTCCTTCTCAGAGATCACTTAGCTTACTGCTGCAGTGGAGGAAATATTGACCTTCAAATAACTCTAGAGACTTTCTGCCAGCTGATGGATAAATATAACTGTCCCATTACTTGGTTTTTCCATTTCTCTTCTGTCCATACTCCTTGTGTTTCAGACTTTATCTCTCTTGGAAAGTTCACATTCCTTTCAGCTATTTTTTAATGTATATTTTTATTGAGTCTTTTGCATTTCATACAATAAATCATATTCATATTTAGATGCCCCTCCCCCATTCTTACCCCACTCTGGCCCTCCCCACCACCCGATTTCATGCATTCTGTCATATAAGTTAAGGTCTATCTGGTCAAGCTTTTGTACCCAGATGTCCTCCAGTGCGAATGCTCCCTTCTATACTAGATCTGTTTTTCATCTTTGTGTACATGAAGTGTGTGTGTGTGTGTGTGTGTGTGTGTGTGTGTGTATTTGATGTATGTATATGTAAATGTTCCTTTGTGAGTTCAGGTGTGCACATACCATGGTAGGCAAGCAGGTAAGGTCAAAGGACAAGCTTGGGTATTAGTCCTAACTTTCCACCTTGTTTGAGACAGGGTAACTTGTTCACTATTGTATATTCTAGACCAACGGGCCCAGGAAGTCAACTTCCCATTTCATCCTAGGAATACTGGGATTACAGACATGTGCTACCTGATCTGCCTTTATGTAGGTTTTAAGAATCTGAACTCAGGACCTCAAACTCCATCAACTTCCTTTCGTAAGGAAATATGCAATAGAAAACAATATGATACATGCATTGTATTAATGCATTTCTAACTAAATGTGTACTATATACATTTTTATAAATAAATATTTTTATATTTTATTTGTTATTTTTATATGTATGAGTGTATTGCCTGCATGTAGGTAAGTGCACCCGTGTCATGCAATGCCCTTGCAAGACAGAAGAGGCCATTGGATCCTCTGGAACTGAAGTTACAGACAGTTATTAGCTGCCATGTGGGTGCTGGGATTTAAACCTGGGTCTTCTGCAAGAACAACCAGTGTTCTTAACCACTAGGCCATCTATATACAGACCTACTATATACATTTAATCATGTGTGTGTTTAGTAATTATTATCCCTGCAAAACTAGTCTCATTAAAGGACCAAGCAATAGACAATTAAATCATTCAGTCTAATAAACACACTGCAACCTTATCGTACTTTGTATTATTTTGGAGTCTCCACCAAGAAAGAAATTCTGTATGGGCTAGAATTAGAGACATCTTGATATTTTTTATATTTCTGATTCTCTCACAGTAGATATACAGTAAATTTATTTCCACATGATTTAATGGCACAATAATTCATATAACTTTTGCTAGAGCTTGCTTTTTGAAGAAAGCATAATTCTAAGTTACTAGAACTCAAAAGAAATACTAAAACTTTTAGAGCCAACCTTTGTTAGATAACTTAATTTAGATTCATATGTTTACACTTCAAAATGAATTGACAATTTTATATAATAATTTTTCTTAATATATTGAAAATAATGTATGTTATATTGTATCCTCTAATATATTTTATTTTTTCACCATCTATAAATTAATGTTAATGTATATCACCTAGAATTACAGTTTGGTTGAGATAATTTTTTCAAATTTCTTTTGTTATTAAAGTTATTCTAATTTTTCTAATAAATTATTAAGAACTTTGCTTCTTAATAAGTGATAAATGCTATTCAGTCATCAGGAAACTATATCTTTAAAAATTATTTGTTATTTTTATTTTACGTGTATGAGTGTATCACCTGCATGTTGGTAAGTGCACCTCTTTTATGCAATGCTTGCAGAAGTCAGAAGAAGGTGTTGGTTCCCCTGGAACTGGAGTTACAGTTATGGATGGTTGTTATCCACAACGTGGGTGGTAGGTTTGGAACCTTTGTCCTTTGAAAGAGCTGTCAGTGCTCTTAATTGCTGAGCCATCTCTCTAGTCCACAGAAACTATATCTTGTAAGCAATAGGATTCCTGCCATATTTGTAATTTATGAAGGACATTTTTTATGTATATTATTATTGAATTGTGTGCATTTCACATCTTCTATATGTCCCTTGCTACCACACCTTTTAGTATCAAGAACTAGAAAGATTCTCATTCTCTGTATTATTCTTTGATTAGCGTTTATATGTATATCTAAATGAATGTGCATTGATTTTCCATCTTCAGTTTTGAATAGTGATAGTCGATCATCTGTAACTGCTGTATATGTTATGCAAAACTTCATCAACACCATAGAATGATACTGCACCAAGCAACATTCACATGATTGAATGAAGATCTGATTCCTGCTCATTAATGACAAGATTCTCCATGAGGAACAATGATGTTCCAGAGATATAACTCCTTGGACCTTTCTCTCTTTTTTAAATATTTTATTTATTTATTTTTATTGCAACGCCATGGACATCAGAGAAGGACATCAGATTCCCCTGGAACTGGAGTTACAGATGGTTCCTGGAGTTAATAGTCAACACATGGGTGCTGGGAATCAAACCCAGGTCCTCTTAACCACTGAGCCATCTCTCCAGCCTCATCCTCTGATCAGTCTTTTACTATCCATCCTAGCAGGCACTTAAAAGAGTCTGCCTCTGACTTCCACTGAATGTCCACAGTTGCATAATATTTCACTTCCAGTAAAATTAATATTTTATTATAGAATTCTATATCATTGTTTTCTGTTTGTTTAAATTGATTACATGGCATTAAATTTTTCAGGGACCTATTATGTATATGTTCTCTGCAACTGGTAAATTTTTATTTTCTCAGTGCTCAGCAACACTTGTTTTATAAATCCTACTGAATTTTTGCTTGACAATTTCAAACATGTATTAAGTGCATTCTAATTATTATAACTTCTACCACCTCTAATCCCCTTCTCCCCCTGTTACCCACCCACTCCCCCAGCACATATCTTTCACACAGTCCTGTATCATTTTCTTTTGTTGGTAGTGGGGGTCCTTAATGCCTGCTTGTTTCTGTTTGGTTTGCTTTTTGAGACATACTGTACTAACCAGGATTGTCCATGTGACCATGAATTTGGAATTGTCCATTGGAGCTTGGTGGGCCTCTGAACGGGTGCATAACTGAGGACAGGTTGCATCCTTTCCCTCAGAATCCATCAGTAGCTGATAGATCAGCAGGGAGGAGCAGGGCCCTGTAAACCCTTTCCTAATTCATGATTAGGGCTTGATGTGTTTTTAGAAATAGATTAAATTTTATTTTGTGGACACTGAATAGCATTCTTGACTGCATCCATCCTCTTTGTCTAAGAAGCAGCTCACAGACAGGGAACTAAACTATGGATTACCTTGTGATTTTCAGGTTATTCCAGAGCTACTAATCTTGGAGCGATTCCTGTAGATTCATCAGCCCAGGAAATCCTGCACAAGTTACTCTCATGGATACAACAAACTCCTGCTGACATTCAAGGGAAGCCCTGTATGTGGTAAGCTAGGTAATTCATTTAATGGGTTTTACGTAAAGAATGTACAAGTAGTCACTGACAGACTTCCATTGCATAGACTGCCTTTCACAATATAAAGAAGTGAAGCTTTCTTGAGTCAGACTCTGGTTCAGGGACCATGTCTGTCTTCATTAAAGCATAGATGTCTTCACCCAAGGATAAATGAGAACACTGATGATGCTGTAGTCCTTTCCTGGGGCCATGTATACTGGCTTCAAGTTCTCTCCTCCTGGAAGCAGACTTTTGGCTTCGAGTTCTGCAAAACAGCCCCTCCTGGATTCTATTCTTGCTGCTTCTAAGTCAGAAAGTCCATGGCAGCTGCTTCGTAGATCACTTCCAAATCACAGCACCTTGGATCAGCAAGTAATACTTTTTATTATAACCAAAATCTCCTGGAAACCCAGAGACCACAGCTTTGGTAGCCAGTGGCATAGAATAAAGAAATTAATAGTGTTACTGAGGCTATAGATACGTTGAAATCCAACCCATATTTCTTTGGTCTCATGACCAAAGGCTATATTTTAATTTAGTTATACTGTGATTTTTTAAAGAAAAACGAGGAAAGTTTCATGAATATTACCATGATTAGCTCATCTTCATTTATTAAGAATGAATTAGCTCCCTAAACATAATGTATATCATGGCCATAGGCTTTTATTTTCCAAATTAAACTGACAACAAAGATAAGGATCAGATATCATACATAACAAGTAAGAAGTAATTCCTGATGGATTTTGTAGTAAATAATTAAATAAAAAGTATAGTTCTTTAAGTTTTCATCTTTTGTGTAATTTTTAAAGTAACTTATTGGTAAATGTAATATTGAATGACTTAGAAACAGCTGTCAACTTATATTGAATTGTGAAAACATTAATATGATAATGCAAAGTGCCAAGCTTATTTTAGCACTGAAAAAATCATATTGGCATGTGGCCAAAATATTTGCCTCCCAAATGTCAACTTTAGAACAATTTTTTAAACCCACTGTGGTTGCCTCTCCCTCCTCTCAACTCCCAGCAGGCTAAAGCAGACCTCACATAGTCCCACACAGATGTAGACAGAGAAACTGCTCATTATCAATCAACGAGCACAAACAAGCTGAAGACTGCTCAGTTCCCTCTGTTAAAGGTAGAAAGCCTTACAGCCCAAAGAGTTTATTATTCTGGGACAGAGATCGACAAAGCCATTTGAGTTTGACTTGCACAGTAGCCACAAAGGTTATATTGAGGTTAAGTTTCCTAAACAAAATGGAAGCAATTAAACAGTGAAATAATGTTGTTCCTTTTTAACTTTTAACCCAGAGGATCTCCCCCAAAGTATTAATGTAACCAAAATGTAAATTTGCTATATCCCTATGTTAGAAATACATGAGAAATGAATTGTCTTTCATGGTTAATCATGTTACTATAGCCTATTTTAAAAATGAAAGCAAACCTAAATATTTTGTATAAATAAAAAGTAGTAACTGGTCATAAGATTTCTCTTTTTGTAACAAGATTCTTGAAGACTTCTATATTTTATCATTTATGATTACATAGGAAATAAATCAAATCTGTGTATAGTTAATTATAAATAAAAGCAGTCATGGGGCCAAAACCATAGATCTGTTTCCTTCCTTAAAGCATTGTACAAGAATACACTAATTTTTATATATATATTCTTTCATATATTTACATGTTTGTATGGTGTGCATATGCATGTGGGCCTGGGCATGGACTTGTGTGCAGGTGTGTGGAGACCAGAGGATGTGTGTCTTCCTCAGTTGCTTCTGTTTATTATGCTTGCAAACAAGCACTTTACCAACTGAGTGATCTCCCAATCCCCATAACATAATTTTTATGGAAATAATTTTCACACTTATTATTTCATTTCTATGCTAAGATCCTTATATAAAGGAAAGACTTCACAAATTTAAAACAAGAAGATGAAAGTGAAAATATGTGCCTCAACCAAGACCACATATTTAGAAAGATTTGGAGTGAGATTAAAGTACAGTGATAATTTTACACATTGCTGAATGTAAGATATGGAGATAATCTCCTATCATATATCAGTTAGTTTGGGTTTTACCTCTAAGAAAGAAATGTTATGTGGTATTCTTAAAGGGTAACTTTTTATCCCTATAAACAACGGCTTAAATACTGAATCACATATGCCTGAAAACAAGAACCAACAGCCATGGGAAATGAAAGAACTAGATATGATCACTGCAGCTATGGAAGTTGGCAAAACCCAATTAGATTTATTGCAACATAAACCAACAAAAATTTTTCCTCACTAAATTCCTTCTCTATCTTGGTCCTAGTTGCTGCTCAAATACTCCCTGCCTGAAGGTAATCTCAAAGATGGATTATGGGTAAATAAAGAGAATGGAAGGATTTGAAGAATAGCCTCTTCAGAGATGCTTTGCATTCTGTGCAGTCTTTAGGTAAAGTAGGTTGGACAGAAATGTGGCCTTTTGAGGAGCCAGAGGGCCAGTACCCAGAAGCTGAAGAGAATCACTCTGCTTCTCTGAGACAGGGAAGGGAATACTGAACTGCAGAAACTATTGCATAGGATTTCCCAACCCTAGACCCACTTTGGTCCCCTAGTCCATATGAGTTTAGAGCTTGAATCCCAGATACCCAAACACATGGCCTTCCAAGAGCCTGATCACCCACAAGGAGCAACCTTTCACTTTGAGCAACAGCTTGTGGTTTTGTTCTAAGAAGGCTTACACTTCATTAGAGTGGTAACACTGGGCTATTAAAGGTCTTTTGGAACTTTATTGTCTTCCTATATGGAAGTCTTCTCAACATACTCTATAATTTAAAAGAGAGAGCAGCAGCAAAGATTGGGGCATTCTTTAGTGGAATGCATAGAGAAAACCTTGTAACACAAACAATCACTGATGTGCTGTTTATTGAAACATCTGTCTGAGAAAAAAAGAATGTAGCTTTTTATCATTAGGATGAATAAGTGAAGATACATTCTCCTGTATTATCTACTAATACTCACAAAAAGGCAACTGAATATTCCATTTATAGTGAACTCACTTCCTTGACCTCATGCCACCATCTTCCAGCTTAACAAGACTTTCACTGTTGCCTTTTGGCTTGAAGTATTTGCCTGTGGAGGCATGGAATTCAAAGCAACATGGAGAACAGAGCACTTAGGCTTTATTTGTGAAACTGGTGTGAATAAGAATTTGAAGTACTTTTAAATTCCATTTTATGATTTTTATCAGACAAAATGTCAACAGTTACTTAAAGGTCAAACTAGAAATAATTTCAAAGGAAAATAAAGAATTGGGGGGGAAATGTTCATGAGGAAAGAAGATCCAATTGTACTTTGTCGTTCACATGTTGCTTGTTTACTGGAAAACATCAAAATTCCAGTTTTCTTCCTTTAATTATATATATATGTGTGAGAATGTGAGACTGAAAATGTGTGTCTATGCCTGTGAGTGCAGGTACTTACAGAAGAGGGTGTCAGATGTGATAGAGTTGGCGTTACAGGTGGTTTTCAGCCATCTGACATGGGTGCTGGGAACTGAACTCAGATCCTTTGGAAGAGCTATACAAACTCTTAGCTAGTGAGCTCTCCCTACAGGCCCCTCTCCCATTTCCTTCTTGAGGTGATAATCAAAGAAATAAAGGTAGATAACGTGAATTGTTATTTGTCTTTTTGACAATGACAATGAATGTGTTAGTTTATATCACAATGCAATAGAAGACAGAATAAGCATTTCTTCCCATAAATTGCTTTTTGTCAGGCATTTGGTTGCAGCAACAAGAAAAGTAACTTAAACAGTACTTCAGTAAAAAACAATCAAGGAGATGGAGCCCACACATAAGACATAGGAACCTATGGGCTAGACAGCCCTCCTAGGGCTGAGATTAAAGATCTATGCCACTGTGCCCAACTTAACTGAATTTTTGTAAATTTCATACAATATATTTTGATTATATATAGATTCCTTCCATGTCACATCTCCTTTTATGCCTTTAATATCAGCCCTTGAGAGGCAGGGCAGGCTGATTTCTGTGAAATAGAGGCCAGCCTGTCCAACATGGTGACTTCCAGGCAGACTGGACCTAAGGGAACACTGTCAAAAACAATTCAGTTAAGTAAAGGAAAGATATAAATATTCAAGGAAAAGAGGCACATTCTAGGTATAGGAAGCGAGAAGATTTCATGACTGAGATAATAAACAGAAGAATGAGGAAAATCAGTGATTTGCTGTATATATTCCAAGTTAATTACAATCGTTTACTAGATCAAATTAATATTATAAACGGAAAAATCCTGTGTATTAGGGAATGAGGTTAGTCACTTCTGCATAATGTTCTATTGGCGAGATAAGGACAAATCATACATGGTAAAGGAACTTTCAAGGAAAGACTGAAGTTAGTATTTTTTATTTTTTCTTGCCAAGAGAGGCCACCATCATCAGAACCTTAGAAACTTAATGCAGAGATGGAAGTTCTTAAGAAAAAGAGAGTTTTAAAACTCTAGTAGGAGGTTCTTCCAGATCTCTAGGATAGAAGTGATTGATGTGCACCTTAGGTCAGCACAACTGGGAGCATAAAGGAAATAACACCTCATTCAAAACTTCACTTCGTTTGCCCACTGACAAATACAGGATAAACACGTCATTAATATAGATATGGTGACCAACAACGAGGCATAAGGGAGGAAGTGCCGAACCCAAGCAGAGGACAGGATTGCTTAAAATTAAAAGCATAAGAGAGAGAATGCTTGGAAGAGAAACTAACAATATCTAATGTGCACCAATAGAATTTGAGAGAACTTCATACTTACTTGTGCAACAAACAGCAAGCAGTTAGGCAAACACCTTTGATGTAGGATAACAATTTGAAGATTATCCGAGAAGAGTAGTATTTGAAACTGCAGGAGGGAAGCAGATCAGTGATGACTCTAGAGTGCAAAGGAATGCAGTCTGAACGCAGGGCCTCAGGAAAGCCTGTGCTCCGGGACAA